ACCTTCCTGACTCCAGAATATACTACAAAGCTACAGTCATCAGGAGAGTATGGTACTAGCACAAAGACAAAAATATAGATCAATGGAATAAAATAGAAAGTCCAGAGATTAATCCAAACACCTATAGATACATTATCTTTGACAAAGGAAGCAAAAATATACAATGGAGAAAATACCATCATCAAGTGGTGCTGGGAAAATTGGTCAAATATGTGAAGAAGAAAGAAATTAGAATACTTTCTGATAGCACACAGAAAAATAAACTCAAAATGGATTAAAGACCTAAATGTAAGACCAGAAACTATAAATATCTTAGAGGAAAATATAGGCAGAACACTCTCTGACATAAATCACAGCAAGATCTTCTATGACCCAACTCCCAGAGAAACGGAAATTTTTTTAAAAAGTAAAAAATGGGACCTAATTAAACTTAAAAGCTTTTGCACAATGAAGGAAACTATATGCATGGTGAAAAGACTGCCCTCAGAATGGGAGAAAATACTAGCAAATGAAACAACTGACAAAGAATCTCTAAAATATATAAGCAGCTCATGCAGCTCAATACCAGAAAAACAATTCAATCGAAAAGTAGACAAAAGACCTAAACAGACATTTCTCCAAAGGAGACATACAGATGGCAAATAAACACATGGAAAGATACTCAACATCACTCATTATTAGAAAAATGCAGATCAAAACCACAATGAGTATCATATCATGCCAGTCAGAATGGCCACCATAAAAAAATTAAATTAAAAAAAAGTCTACAAAAAATAAATGCTGGAGAGGGTGTGGAGAAAAGGGAACCTGCTTACGCTGTTTGTGGGAATGCAAACTGGTACAGCCACTATGGAGAACAGTGTGGAGATTCCTTAAAAAACTGAGAATAGAACTGCCATATGAATCAGCAGTCTCATGGAGGAAACCGGAATTGAAAGAGACACATGTGCCCCAGTGTTCATTACAGCACTATTTACAATTGCTAAGACATGAAAGCAACTTAGATATCCATAGGTAGATGAATGGATAAGGAAGTTCTGGTACATATACACAATGGAATTTTACTCAATATAAAAAGTAATGCACTTGAGTCAGTTCTAATGAGTTGGATGAACCTGAAGCTTATTATACAGAGTGAAGTAAGACAGAAAGAGAAAGACAATTACTATATATTAACACACACACGCATATGTATGTATATATAAAATTTAGAAAGACAGTTCCAATGATCCTACATGCAGGACAGCAAAGGAGACACAGATGAAAAGTACAGACTTTTGGATTCAGTGGGAGAAGTTGGGGGTGGGATGATTTGTGAGAATAGCATTGAAACATTTACATTACCTTATGTAAAACAGATGGCCAGTGCAAGTTCAATGCATGAAGCAGGGCAAATAAAGCTGGTGTTCTAGGGCAACCCAGAGGGACAGGGTGGGGAGGGAGGTGGGAAGAAGGTTCAGAATGGGGGGGGCATATGTATAACTATGGCTGATTTATGTTGATATATGGCAAAAACCATTGAAATATTGTAAAATAATTTTCCTCCAATTAAATTAAATAAATTAATTTCTTAAAAAAGAATGTATAATGCATTAAAGATAGTCTCTTCAATAGGTGGTGCTGGGAAAACTGGACAGCTACATGGAAAAGAATGTAATTAGAATACTTCCTAACACCATACACAAAGATAAACTCAAAATGGATTAAAGACCTAAATGTAAGACCAGAGATTATAAATCTCTTGGAGGAAAACATAGGCAGAATATTGTATATCATAAATCACAAGAAGATCCCCTATGACCCAACTCCTAGAGTAATGGAAATAAAAACAAAAATAAACACGTGTGACCTAATTAAACTTAAAAGTTTTTTCACAGTAAAGGAAACTGTAAACAAGGTGAAAAGGCAGCCCTCAGAATGGAAGAAAATAATAGCAAATGAAACAACTGACAAAAGATTAATTTCCAAAATATACAAGCAGCTCATACTACTCGATACCAGAAAAACAAACTGCTCAGTCAAATAGTGGGCAAAAGACCTAAACAGACATTCCCTCAAAGAAGACATACAAATGGCTAATAACTACATGAATGGATGCTCAACATCACTCATCATCAGAGAAATGCAAATCAAAACTACAATGAGATATCACCTCACACAGGTCAGAATGGCTATCATCAAAAAAACCAAACAATAAATATTGGAGGCGGGTGGATTAAAGGGACAACCCTCTCGCATTGTTGGTGAAAATAAAACTGATACAGCCACTGTGGAGAACAATATTGAGATTCCTTTATAAACTAGGAATAAAACTACCATATTAACCCTAAAAACACACTACTTGACATATATCCTGAGAAAACCATAATTGAAAAAGAGACATGTACCCCAATGCTCATTGCAGCACAATTTACAATAACCAGGACATGGAAGCAACCTAGATGTCCACTGACGGATGAATAGATAAAGAAGCTGTGGTACATATATACAATAGAATATTACTCAGCCATAAAAAGAATGCATTTGAGTCAGTGCTAATGAGGTTGATGAACGTCAAGCCTATTATACAGAGTGAAGCAAGTCAGAAAAACAAATATCATATATTAATACATATATATGGAATCTGGAAAGATGGTACTGATAAACCTATTTGCAGGGCAGCAATGGAGATGAAGACATAGAGAACAGACTTATGGATACAAGGAGGGGCATGAAGGAGAGGGTGGGACGAATAGAGAGAGTAGCATGGAAACATATACACTACCATATATGAAATAGGTAGCCAGTGGGAATTTGCTTTATGACCTAGGGAACTCAAACCAGGGCTCTGTGCCAACCTAGAGGAGCGGGATGCAGTGGGAGATGTGAGGGAGTCTCAAGAGGGAGGGAACATATATACACCCATGCCTGATACATGTTGATGTATGGCAGAAACCAACACAATATTGCAATTATCCTTCAATTAAAAATACACAATTTAAGAAAAAACTGGGGCTTAACTGTATATTTAATGGAAATTGTTGTATCTATATTTCTTGCTTTGTATGACTGTAAGCTTGGAGGAGAGGAAGGGCTGTATTGAATACTAGAGACCCAGATAAGCAAGAGCCTTATGGCTCTCTGCTGAGAATATCTACGAGACAAGTAGATATTTGGAACTCCTTGCAATGAAGCCCAATCTTTGGAGGACAATAAATCAGGCATTTCTTCAGCTGCCTCTTCCAAGGAACTTGTGGAATATCAGCAACAGAAAAAAAAATTATAGCCAGGTTGCCTACCAAGGTTGGGTTCCAGAGGGCTTTTTCTACTTACTAAATGTGTTATTTTGGCAAACTTTCTATTCTTGTAAATGGTACCTCCATCTATCCAGTAACCCAAAAAAGAAATCTGAGAGTCATTAGTGTCCCCTCACTCATCAACATACTTCCTTCTCTCCACATTTACTCCTAACATTCTAGTCAGGCTCTCATTTTGCCTGCATCACTATAGTAGCCTTCCTTACGTGGTCTTTCCCTTTCTACTCTTGTACCTCAATGCTTCCACCACTAACTACTACACTAAATATGCCTAGCTATGCTGGATATCTGTCAGTTATTAGAACAAAGCAAGCTTATTTCTATCTCAGAGCTTTTGTTTTCTAACCAAGAACACTCTTTACTTAAGCATAGCTGGCTCCTCATATTGGTTATGCTAGTCAACATATGAGCCTTGTTTAGATCCAAATTGGAACAAATTTAAAAAAAATACTTATTAGACAATTGTGGAAATTTGATATTAAGGAAATTTTCTGTGTGCTAGTAATGTTGTGCTTGTTTGTAAACATCTTTGCCTTTTAAAGATATATTCTGAAGTATTTATGATGCAGATAATATGATGTTTGGAATTTTAGAGTGGGAAGTGGGAAGTAGGTAGGGGTGAAAAAAACAAATTTGGCCATATACTAAAACAATTGATGATGTTAGGTGAATGGTACATGGGAGTCCAGTAAACTATTAACATCTACTTTTGCATGTTGAAAATCCAAATACTTAAACATAATATACATATTCAATAGAATCAGCCTTCATCCTAGGTATAGGAGAAGCAAATAAAACATCAACAAATAAGAGTGTTATAGAAATATTGGGACAACACAGTCTAAAAATTAGTCACCTATTAACAGATTTAGGGCACATCAACTAAAGCTAGGCTCTTCTATACAGACTGTAATACAGTATATGTTTATAAGAAAAGAGGATCCCTTCCTTGTCCAGAGTGTCCAAGTCTCACTTCTGAGCTGGAGATGATTGGGGATGAGGAGTCTTCAAGAAGAGGATACAAACTGATGACTGAAAAGCTACTTCTGGCCCATAGGCAGGTTTCTTTGAATCTTTGGTATTATAAAATTCATTTAATTAGAAGACAAAATTGAAATCTAGGATGTTTCACATTAAAAAATCTTAAATTTTTAATTTGGGAGATTTGGTAATACTTATTTAGAGTTGAGTGATAGTTCTTCAAATGGAACCATTTGCTTACTCCCTTAGCCTCAACTCTCAGCCCCCAAGGTCTGCTTTGCTTATTCTTTCTTAAGGGTACCTTTATTCGAATGAGAACAAAGGTATGTTATAGGTTGGTGGATGGTGCTGAGCTGCAAAAGCCTGCTTTAATTTCACTGTGCTTTTCAATACTCCGTAAAACTTGTGGGGATGATCACAAGGGAGGGAATCTTATCTGCCTTTATCTTTGTATAAATATTAAGACTTCCCAATTAGAAAGATCTACAGGGGCTCAACAGGGATCTTAACTATTCAGAAGACACCAGGTGTATGTTTTCTTAGGCTGGTTTCATGAAAGCTACTGTAGAGTAGAAACAAGACATAGGGGTAAAAGCCATGAATGGAACCTGTGCCCATAAGTATAAATAGATTAAACTTTGCTTCAGGACTTTCTTCTCTTCCTTTCTCTCAGAGATTTGGTGTGTGTGTGGCAGGGGGTAGTTAGGGTGGAGATGGGCAGACCTGTATGGATTCTGCGGTGGGCTTTCAGGTGAGAGCTTTTGGTGTACACTTTGCTGCATCCTGCAAAGTCACATTGGTGAATCCGTCTTCTCTTCAAGTCAAGGGACTCTTCTTGCATTTGTGTCATTGCTGTTGGTCTGAGCAAACAAAGAGAGATAGGGCCAAATAATGATTTTAAAGTGGAGGCTAATGAATGAATTCATGTGTAATGGGATCCCCTCTTACATGCATTTAATTTATGCAAATTTAAGAAGAAATAATTGAAATAGTTCAAGCAATTCCCTCAACTAGGCTATTATGCTGAGTAAATGCAGGTCCCAGAAGGTAGTAATATTTCTTTGGGTGGTTTCTGTTCCCAAGCTATGTGAGCATTTCATTCTAATAAGCCTAGGTCTAAAGAAATGTATTTTTTCATCCAACATGGTTACTAAAATGCAAGCCAATGCTAAGGTTGCTTTAAACTTACAGAAAAAATCCAGAATGCAATTGTACTTCATAGGAAATTTGTAGATTTTTCAAGGGTAAAAATCAGTGATTTACAATTAGAACATTACTGTGTCATAACATCCATGTCCATGCACATGTGTGCATACAAGCTCATAGCTTCACTGAAGAGGCAGTTTATCTATATTTTATTGTCCTCAAATTCTTACTACAGTGTCTGAGAATTTGTTCTACATCTACCACAGACACACACATATATACAGAGATCAACCTGAAGTAGAGATAAAAGTACTTACTCTTGCTGTAGTCCTTGAATACCCTGTAAGGATCCACTCTCAATTGCATTCTCCTCATTGTCGCTTGGGATCTCCAGTGGAGATATAGATGTGGGTTCAACTTTCACTAAAAACAAATAAAAAGAGCATTTTGGGCTACAAATATATGAGTCTCTAATCATTTTCAGGATTCCTGGTTTGGCCAATATTAGAAGTAGCAGCAAGACAGAGAAATAAAGAAAAGCAAAGATGAAAGAAGTATATTTGTACAAAAGGAAAAGAAAAACATTTAAAATTTTAGCATAACAGGATACAGAAAATACTTTGAGGTAAGTGTAGAAAGGAGCTTTCTGGAGCATTTTCACTAGAATGAGCTTCTCTAAGACAGTGAGATGGTAGGTTTCTCTAGGATATGGTCTGAGTATGATTCAACTCTATCTCCAGCTCCCAAGACAGGGTCTCCTGAAAAGTCAGGTTCAATGTGTGTTTGTTTAATCAAACTCTAAATAGTTACCTGGCTGTCATCAGATCAATGTCTAGGTTCATACCAGAGATGAGAACATCTCCTTTGGCTTTTGTGTTCCTAAATGAAAATGAGTCATTGAGATGAGACACATAATGGGTGTCGAGTAGGTGCTTGATACATATTAGCATCCTTCCCTTTCACCTATGTTGGCAGAAGCCCTCAAGTATTTATTGTCAAATATTGGTGTTTCTGATCTCTAGCAAAACTCAGTCAGGTGGTCAGCCATCTCTCAGATCTAGTGAAATGTTCAAAATTTCTATACAGAAAAAACTTAAGGATGGCAATAAAGTTGAGGGTGGGGAGTACTTGGTTAGTGTAGTCATCTCCATACATTGTATATCATTCACTAAAACATTTTAAGCATGCACCTGTGTCTGTGTCTCTGCATGTGCATGTGTGTTTATGATCTAAATGTACCTATATCCTAAACTTCTGTGTAGATTATGGAAAATAAATAAAATAACATGTAAAGGGTAAGAAAATACAAATAAAAATTTTGATGCTTTCTTCTTATTCTCCAAATATTTTGTGCAACACCCCTTTTTTCCCCCAACCAAAGTGTAAGCATAGCATTTTGGAGACCACAATGCTAATGGTCTTAGCTTGAAACTACAACACTTTTAAAATTCATTCTGTTTATTTTAAATGGTTCTGATGGTTATTATGGGGCAATTCAGAACTCATCAAAACCATCCAAACTGGCTTGACATAATCATATTCTCACACAAAAATTGTATTTTACCATTTTTATTTGGCTCTCTCTCTACATGAGAATTGATAACCATATTTCCCCCCATTAATTAACCCCCTTAGGAGATATCAGAAACAAGACTGTTATGAACACTTATCATTACCACAATTAACCACTAGTGAATAATAGCATTTTCATTCAAAAGAACATGACCGAGTCTCAGCAATTTGATGCTTGGTATGTTCTTCATTATCATACATTTAGTGATGGAGTGATCATAAGGTATTGAATCTCAAAGGTAGAAAACTCTGAGAAAGCTTTTTTTTTTTTTTTTACATTGAGCTGAAATCTGGTTCCTAGTCATTTCTACCTACATATATCCCCTTTGGTCTTATTAATTCATGCTAAACATTTATCAGCTCCTCTCTGACATGAGTTTGAGTCCTCTCACCATCTTAATCTTTCTCCTCTGACTAGAATCCAATTTCCCAAAAGCTTTCCTAAAGCTGAACATCCAAAACTGATTGTAATTCTATAGATGTGGTGAAGCTAAGTATCTTGAATCACTTCAAAAGGCATATAGCCTTTTCTTCCATCATGTCCCATTACAAATTAGATATTCCTCTAGGAAGGGAACTGGATGGCTGGGGGATAGTGGTGAAAGGGAGATAAACATATCTTTCTGAATTCTAAACTTATTTAAAATTAAGTAAAAGATAACATTACATCATATGAACTCTCTCTTGGACAAAATTTCAAGTTTGTTCATCAGATGATTTGTTATAACTTCTATCTACCACTGTGCTTTCTGGAGATGCACAAAGAAACATAAGATGGTCTTGTCCTCTAGCAATTTACAATTTAGTTGGGAAGAATGTCCACATACTTGTGATACAAGCATGTAAAAAATAATATGAAGGATGATAGATGCCAAATGAGGTGGAACACAGGAGAGATGGCAAAATTTCAAAGAAGACTATTTAACCTGGAGGGAAGAGAAAAGCTAAAGTGTTGGGAGAGGCAAGGAGGTAAGGCTGGCTATGTATGTAAGGCGAGAAACTTGTTCAACTTTTCTACCAAAGCATTCCCAATGGCGTAGGAGACTAAACAGATCCTCTACCTAAGGGTGGTTGTCTCAGTAAGATTAAAAGTGTTTTTGAAGTTCCTGTCTTATCTTAAAATATTATTCAAATATTATATTTTTCTTTTTAATAAAATATTTAAATTACTTACTATCAAATAATATAGAGGTTCTAGTAAGATATGTAGTATTTCACTCAAAGATATGCATACCACAGTTTGAGAAACATGGGCTAAAAAGAGTTATTGTACATTTGTAAGCATCAAAGAAACATGATGAAAACAGTATTTATGAAGAATTGCTCTTAAAGCTGTGTGCAAGAGTAATTGGAAAATAAATAGGAGATATAATATTCAAAAAGGGAATAGATGGAGGTAGGTAAGTCTCAGCAAAGGGGCACATTGATGCTCACCTGATCCAACATTTTTGCCATCTCCTCCAATTAATGGGACTGTAATGGCTGCAGGGTTCCCATCTGCAGGCAAAGTAGTATACACCATGGGCAGCGACTGCACCACCACTGGGATGGCTTTCAGGCTACCCATCTTATTTGGCAGATTGACTGAGGGGATGGTGTGAATCACATGTAAGATCTGATGGCCACCAGTGCCCTGAGATGAGGCCAGGATAGAGCCTGGAGTCAGAACAGTACGGATGCTTGCTGAACTGCCTGTGTCTGATGCTGAAGTGGACACTACAAGAGTCTGGGAAGCAGGCTGTGGCTTGGGAGGACGTATTGGAGACTGCAGCATACTGGCAGGCTGGAGAGGAGCCTTTGGCTTGTGAAAGGAGAGGTCAACTGGTTCCATCTGGGGCAGGTTGAAATCATTAGCCAGAAGTTCTTCTGGGGGCTCAATCTTGATGTCATTTAACAATGCTGGGTTCTTCATGGGGTTGGCATCCAGGAGTGGTGGAGATGTCATATTATCTCTGTCTGCTCCCTTAAGGGAATCTCTAATTTGAACAGGGTCAGTGACCTAAAATAAATACATAAACAAATGAGAGGTACAAAGTGTTAGTACCCTGAAGAAGAGACATGTAAGCAATGAAAGAAAGAAATCTCTATTATTTTGTTATGGGCAGAATATACAGGGAATTGAGAAAAACGAAGCAAAAGAAAAAAGAGGAAAAGTAAAAGCGGAGGAAAGAGAAGGGAAACTTTATTGAGTACCAGCACTAGGCACTGAATAAGGCAGTTATACTATTTCATTTAATCTTTACAGTAATTCTGCAAGATTAATTAGAATCAACATATCTGAGTATCTACTATAAGTACTGATTTAAGACCAGTGAGGGCACAAATGAATAAGGTATAGCCATGAAGTACATACTAACATACCAACTATAATGATAGAATAATATGAAAAACTTAAAAGTCATACCATAGTAAGTGATGCAGCCCACATACAAGCACATACAAGCAAGGCATTTTAGAAAAAGAAAAGGGAATGATTCATTTTGTCTAGAAGATTCGGGAAGGTTTCAAAGAGGAAGTGATATTTTAGATGGATCTTAGAGAATTAATAGAAGCTCTGTTGGCAGAGAAATGGTAAGAAAGAGATTTTACGTCTACAGACATATAACAACAGATAATATGCTTAGGGAATAATGATGCAGTACAGTCAATTGTATCATATACAAAATCTAACTGTGTAACTATTAAATTCGAAAATAATAATTAAGGGACTTCCCTGGCAGTCCAGTGGTTAAGACTCCACACTTCCAATGTAGGGTGTATGGGTTCAATCCCTGGTCAGGGAACTGAGATCCTGCATGCCATGTGGCATGGCTTTAAAAATACTAATTAAATGATCACTTTATGCATGCCTGTGTGCTAACTCACTTTAGTCATGTCCAAGTTTTTCTGACCCTATGGACTGTAGCCCACTAGGCTCCTCTGTCCATGAGGATTCTCCAGGCAAGAATTTGGAATGGGTTGCCATGCCCTTCTCCAGGGGATCTTCCTGACTCAGTGATCAAATCCACAACTCTCATGCCTCCTGCATTTGCAGGTGGGTTCTTTACCACTAGTGCCACCTGGGAAGCTCCATTGCTTTATAAGTAATATATAAAATAACATTAAACCTCAAACTAATTACAATTTTTCTAAGAGTTCCATGAATTCAAAGGTCAAAGATATGCTCAATTAAAAAATGGGTAGAAGACTTGAATAGACATTTTTCAAAGAAGACATACAGATGGCCAATAGTCACATGAAAAGATATTCAACATTTTTAATTATTAGAGAAATGCAAATAAAAACAAGTTATCACCTCACATCTGTCAGAATGGAAAACATCAAAAAGTCTACAAATAAAATGTTGGAGAGGATGTGGATAAAAGGGAAAACTTTTACATTGTTGATGGGAACATAAATTGGTACAGCCACTATGGAAAACAGTATGGCGATTCCTCAAAAAATTAACAATAGAATTATCATATGATCTAGCAATTCCACTCCTGGGTATATATCTAGAAAAAGCAACAAAAAGAAAGCACTGACTTGAAGAGATATGTGCGCCCCAATGTTCACAGCAGAACTACTTATAACAGCAAAAATATGGAAGTAACCCAAGTGTCCACCAATAGACAAATAAAGAAGATGTGGTACACACACACACACACACACACACACACACACACAATGGAAGAGTATTCAGTCATAAAGAATGAAATTCTGTCATTTGCAGCAACTTGGAGGGTCCTAGAGTGAAGTAAGTGCAAAAGGATACTGTATGAGGGAGACTTTCAAGATGGTGGAGAAATAAGATGGGGAGATTGCCTTCACCCCCTGCAAGTACCTCAAAAATTCATCTGCATGTGGAACAACTCCTACAGAACACCTGCTGAAAGCTGGCGGAAGAACCCAGACTTAAAAGGCAAGCCAATCTCCAAGGAATGTATTTCAAAACATAAAGATAAAAAAGAGACAAAGGACTTCGGGATGGGGATCTGTGCCTTTGGGAGGGAGTCATGAAGGAGCAAAAGTTTCTGCACACCTGGAAATACCTTTATGGGTGGGATTGGGGGGGGGCACTTTACAACCTCAGAGAGGAACATAGCAACAGGTGCTCAGAAGGCAAAATGGAAAAAATTCACCATGGAGATCGTTGCTGAACAGCATTTCCCAGCCAAGAAGCTGCTTACACACCCACACTTTCAGAGAGTGAGGGCTAGGTGCTGAGGTTCAGGCTTCTGGGGTTGGACCCCAGGGAGAGGATGGGGGTTGACTGCCATGAAGATACTCTGAGGGGGCTAGTATGACACAGCTGAGGGAGTCCGGGGAAAAGCCTGGGCCTCACAGAGAGGCAAGAGGTCATTGCTGCAAGAATATTCTAACACCTACATTTGTGACAGGACCCTGGATTTGTGAATTCATTAGGGGGATGAGCTGGCTGCGGTCTGAGAATCCAAAGGCAGAAGAGCTAGCACAAGTGTCATAGGTGGAAGACGGAGGCCACTACAGTCTTGACCTCAGGCTCAAGCTGGGGTCAAGCTATGAGCAGGCACAGGTCACTGCCCACATCTTCCTGGAGGCCTGAGCTGCTTAGCTCTGCTGAGGGATCCACAATGCAAGGCCAACTCCTCTGGGGAAGTACATGGTCTGCCTCAGACTATGGTGATGTCCTTCAGGTCTTGGCCACAGCAGGCACTGTCCACACACCCCAACTGTGTCTGCTATACCCCTTCCTCTCCTCAGCCTAACTAAGGAAGTAAGCCCTAAAAAGCTTCTACTTTCGCCCCTCGTGTCTGGGCAGAGAACAGACACCAGAGGACAGCCTACAAGCATAGGTGGGCCTAAAACAAAGGCAAAGTACCAGGGGCCACTCAGGCAAAGGAGAGAAGGGGAAATTGCTCCGGTAGTCACATGTACAGCAGATTAAATCTCCCAATTTGACTGAGACTGTGGCCTTTAGGGGCTTCCCTTGTGCTCAGCAATAAAGAATCTGTCTGCAACGCAGGAGCCACAGATTTAATCCCTGGGTTGGAAGATCCCCTGAAGGAGGGCATGGTAACCCACTCCAGTATTCTTACCTGGAGAATCCCATGGACATAGGAGCCTGGAGGGCTACAGTCCACAGGGTCACAAAGAGTTGGATACGACTAAAGCAACTTAGCACACACGCTTGTGGGCTTTAGGGGCAACTGTGGATTTGGGGAACAAGTAAAACCTTGAATAGGGCAAGATCTGAGATTGAGCTGACCCCACATTGACCACCACAGGTCCAGAGACCTTTCTAAAAATATCGGGAGGATTTTCTGAGTAGGCAAATTGACTGGAGCACACTGTGTAAAGAAGAAAACAGAGGAATCATGAGGACATTTTTCTTACTACCACTCTCTATATGTGTTTATCTTTTTTCTCTCTTTCTTATTGTTCTAATGTTTTTTTCTATATTATTCATTTTATTTTATTTTTTTATAACCTAGTATTTTCTTTTTCAAAAACATCCTATTTTTAAATAAACATTATTTTTTTTCTATTTGTACAGTACTTTTAAGTTATATTGCAGTTTTTCCATGCTTTTTATTTTGTATATTTGCTAGTCTAGTTTTTAGTGTTCATTTTCATTCAGACATTTGTTTATTGGCTTGATTGCTCTCTTCTTTTTTGATCATTTTTATCCTTTCCCCCCCTTTTTCCTCATTCACTTCTCTTTGTATGTATTTGAGTTTCTTTGGGTGTTCTTGGCTGTTGAGTGTTGCTTTGCACATCAGACTTGGGGTTTTGTCTTCTATGCTGTGTGGCCTATGATGTCTTGGTGCTAAAGTAAGCAGTCAGCCCTGAACCACTGAGATGGGAAGACTAAGTCCAGAACTTTAGACCACCAGGAAATCTTGATCCCATGAAACATTAATGGGTGAGAGCTCTCCATAAAGCCTCTGTCTCAACACTAAGATCAAGTCCCACTCAAAAGCCAACAAGCTCCAGTACCAGATGCTTCACATAAAACTTTTAGCAAAACAGAAACACAAACCTGCTTACTAGCAGAAAAGCTACCCAAAGTCACACCAAGCCAATAGCCACCCCAAAACACACTACTGGACATAGCACTGCCCTTCAGAGAGGCAAGATCCAGCTACATCCACCAGAATACAGTACAAGTCCCTCCAACCAGGAAACCTTCACAAGGCACTAGTCCAATCCAACCCAAAGGGGGAAGACTCCAGTAAGAGAAAGTAAGACTTTCTACCTGGAAGAAAGGAGATCCCAACACAGTAAACTGAAAAACATGAAAGACAGAGAAACATGCAGCAAATGAATAAATATCGTAAAAAGCCACATGACCAAACAAATGAGGAGGAAATAGGCAGTCTACTTGGAAAATAATTCAGAGTAATGATAGTAAAGATGATGTGAAATGTTAGAAATAAAACGGAGGCACAGATAAATATCCTGGAGGCATAGATTGAGAAGATAAAAAGAAATGTTTAACAAGGACCTAGAAAAATTAAAGAATAGATAATCAGCAATGAACAACAGAACCCATGCTTGCATGCTAGGTCACTTCAGTCATGTCTGAAATTTTTGTGACCCTATGGACTGTAGCCTGCCAGGCTCCATCTGCTCATGGGATTCTCCAGGCAGAAATACTGGAGTTGGTTGTCATGCCCTCTTCCAGGAGATCTTCCTGATGCAGGGATCAAACCCCTGTATCTTACATCTCCTCCATTGGCAAGCGGGTTCTTTACCACTAGTGCCACCTGGGAAGCCTGAATAACACAGTAACTGAGATTAAAAATACACTAGAGGGAACCAATAGCAGAAAAACTGAGGTAGAAGAACAGATAAGTGAGCTGGAAGATACAAGGTTGGAAATAGCTGAAACAGAGCATAATAAAGAAAAAATAATAAAAAGAAATAGATACAGTCTCAGAGACTTCTGGGACAACATTAAGTGCACCAACATTTGGATTACAGGAGTCTCAGAAGAAGTTGACAAAAAGAAAGGGTATGAGAAAATATTTGAGGAGA